TTTTTTTTAGATGTTATCAACCAGGTCGGTCGATGTGAACTGACGATATTCATTTACTCGCCAGCCTACCTCAAAACGTGTAGACAATTAAGTCAAGGCCTACTGGGATTCGGTAATTATTAAGTATTTATATTTCGCCTACTTAAATTCAGGAGAAGTCGTTGTGATGTCATTGTTAATGCATAACATGAATATTTAGAATATTATTTGAAAAAGGCTATAATATTTGAGGGCATTATATTTAGGTATATTATTTCTGAGCGTTGCTAGGAGTAAAATATGTTTTCCGAAGGTCCAATTCTGAAACACAAGACTTTACGCCATATTTTTGAGAAGACCTTCTGAAAGACAGACCCAAGGGATTAAAGAGCTGACAATACAAGTCTAGGAAATGTTCAAGAGAGGTGATGTACAGCTTAAAAATAAGAAAGACGGATTACAAGAGGATGATAGGACAGTCGATAAAAACTATAATGAAAAAAACGATAACGATAAAACGACAACGATAAAACCGATAACGATATATACGATAACGATAAAAAATGGGCAGTGAACTTCCAGTTTGGATAGCTGCATATATTCTTCTTTTGACCTAGCTTCTGTGGCTTCATATTAAATATTTTTTTGTAAGGTCCCATCAAATTTTGTGGTTTCTTACTAATTCCTCTACATATGCAATTATCGATGAGTAATTGCATATCTTAGCCCGCAGCATAACTATCGAAAAGAAAACATATCGATAACATTTGAATATTTAAACTCCAAATCGTTGGAGTTAAGTGAAAATGGGATTACGACAAGTTCGACTTAGTTACGATTTGCATAAATTACTTCTGCTGCGTCCGAATTCGTCTGCCTCTGCCTGCTTCTCGCTGTGGCAAGTCCTTTGGACTTCGGCACGTTTCTGCTTTGATTCTTTTTGCTGATTATCGCCAATCCACAGACGCAACCCTTGGCCACTTTGTCTAACTCTTGCCCATTCCCTTTTGGCCAGCCATTGTTGTTGTTGTTGTCGTCCTGGCTGCCCAGGGCTGGCTGGGGGTTGCCGATGGGGTGGGTGGGTGAAAGGGAATTTCGTGTCTGTGCGCTGTCTCGTCGCCTGTCGATTCGCATTGCGTTTGAGCTGGGTCGCCTTCGTCTTCATGTCCAACTTTCGTTTGGGGCTTTTCATTTCGTTTGCTCCGGAAGCCGCTAAACGCTGCTTTCCCTCTCTATGCCATTCTCCCTCTCGCTTCCACTCTCTTTGTGTGCTCAACTTTTACCTGGATGCGTGTGATTTATGCGTTGCCTGATGTGATTCGAATTGATTTTGCTCTGCTCATGAGTTGGAAAAATCACAGACAGATTTAGTGCATAGTTATTGCCACGCCCCGGCCGCCCACACAACTAATTGGCAACTTCATTTATTTTAGTTTCGATTTCATTTTCAGTTTTCCCTTTTCGTGTTGCCCCGTCTCAGTTTTCCTGCTCTATTTTGTGGCTTTCGCTTTTCCTTGGCGCCCGCAATAAAACTTTAAACTCAAGTTGAGAGCCGCAAATGCTCGTAATAGCCGCAAAGTATGCAATAACAAAAACCCACCGAACAGCAAAAAACAACAAGAACAAGAACAACAACTCTGTGGGCCATAAACTTGCGCACAAAGTAAACGTCGCCTGGCAACTCTGGCTGCCCCGCCTCCCCCATCCTCTTCAGCATCTTGACCAGACAAAGTTTTTACTCTGCAAGGAAGTTGTATAAAACTTACAGGGTATGCAACAAGCTGTGAACACGAAGGAGAAGGTTCTATAAGTAGAAGTCGCTGGATTTGCATATAATATCTACAGATTCTTGAAGCTGGGGCTATATGAGGACAAGTGGTATTAAGGAAGAAAAGAAGAACTCTCTCCAAAGTTTGCCTTGAATTCTTTTGTTTGCAGATAAACAGAGAGTAATTATTGGTTATAGATATAGAGAAATTGAATAGAGTTGAGATCCTTCCTGATCTTGCTTTAAAACTAGATGAGGACAGTATGTTTGGGCGTGTTTTGCGCGCTATGATATCTGGAATATTAAACACGAGCTCTATCAAAGTGGAAGGCTTCTTAGCGTAAGATAAGACTTTACTCTCTTGACTCTTGAGTTATGCCTAGTTCCAGGTTTTTTTTACATAGCTGAACATTTGCTGATATACCCTCTAGAAAGAGGATTACTCCTGCTTGGGCGCTCATTAAAGGTATTTCTCGCAGGCGCTACTTACGATATTGAAAGCGATTGCTTACAGGGTATCTCTTAGTCTCATACTCAACTACTTTGAGATTTGAATGTCGTTTCTTTCTGGTTAAGCTTAAATCTCAATTCCAGCTACAAGCTCATCTTGGTGCGCGACGACAGTTTTTTCGTTGCCTTGCTGAAACTTGTAGCATACGTTGTGCCACGCCCTCTACCCCAGCCCCGTCTGCGATGCCCCCCGCCACCGTGAAAAGGAGAACTAAGGAAAGTAAGTTTTTGTACAAAGGAAAAAAAGAAATCATAGGTCGCAGACGAAAGTAAAAACGGCGTTTCGACAGTCCGCAGTCAAAACTTTTTTGATTATCTTAATTGCGATTACGGGACACCAACCTGACCGCCCACCGTCTTAAGCTCCCCAAGCGCCACATGCGTATGTTACCCCAACGAACAGGCGAGCAGTCAAACAGACAGACAGACAGACAGCCAGACAGTCGTAGAGTTAGATAAATAGATGGAGTAGCTGGGATTGATAGCAAAGATAGAGCTGCGGCAGCTGGTTGGGGGCATTGACTTGGAAACCCCCCACCGTCAAGCATAGACGAAATTAGGCAGACTACTCTGGACATCTCCCTCCGCCGACCAAGTCGAAATTAACAAGATTGACCCCCTTCCATCCTTTCGAGCGAAAAGAAAGCAAAGCCGAGCGAGCGAAGCAATGAAAGAAATTGGGCTATCAAAAAGCTGCACAAGAGTTTGACCAACTTCTGCGTTGGGGCTGGTTGCAGCCCTCGCGAAATACCCTGTAAAATGTAGACGAGTGTGGGGTGTGTTGTGTAGTCGAGCGAGTATGAAGACTTTTAGGGATGGTATGAGTGTTCGATGTACTCTGGGAATAAAAGAAAACTTTGCCAAGCTCAATGTTGTATACCCTGTATAGGCTAACTGACTAAATGCCCTGTGAATATCATTAGCAATCAATAGGAGATTCATAGTAGCTCTACCATTACAGCACTACGCCTATTTCGATTTCCCCGTACAGGGTAACCTTAAGTCGATCAGCTCTATGCTGCTTCACACAAATATTCTTCGACTTATGGACTCGGCTGTGCATTTGTTTGTCGGCTTCCGTTGGGCCGCTGGTGTCTGGGGGCCAGAAGTTTGCCCAAAACTTTTGTTGTCTTCGATTGACGAACAGAGTCCCCCCCTGCCCCACACGACTAACTTTTATGCCAACACCCCTCGTGCAGCGGGCAATACAATTGGAAAATAATCATAGTTTGGCGAAAGACTCTGATTATGTTGGGGACTGCGAACAGCCGCCTGGGGGGCAACCGCTGCAGCTAATCTAGTTACAATGTGCGAAAAGAAATATCCTATAAAAATATATATACATATACATAGATGAGCTCCACTACAGTCCTCTTTAATTGCGGCCCATAAAACATATAATGGGCCTTTATTGATTTTCCAGCTGAGCTCGACTAACGGCTCAGCTATAAAAATCTGCCTCTTTATTGATTGCTGAGATTCGAGTGTAATTCATTTTGATAACTCGCATTAAATTCATAGAAACTCTTATATTGTTTTAATGTTCGCCCGCCAGAGTTGGGCGGGAGGCAAAAGAAAATCCATCGTTGAGCGCTTTTTAAAGACGTTGCTCTCTTCTGATAAGGGAAGCTTTAATGCAGCTTCTGCTTATCAAATTTAGATTGTGCTACTACAAATTAACTACTAAGCGATAACTACATATATCTTAACACAGAGATCTGGAATGGTTTAACTGGTTTAGCTACAATCCTAACTTCAGCTGGAATAGAGCTACACTCTATAGGTTCTCTGGGCAGCTTATAGAGTCCAGATGGGCAACAAGTTAAGCAGAGACTGACTGTCAACAGATTCAGATTCATAACCTTATACCTGAAGACTCGCTTGAGGCTTGCTCAGATCTACCTATAGTAAAAACTCAAAGAGAAAGTTCAGTTAATCTGAAAATCTTTTGCTAACGATATGCAACAACATCCCAAGGCTTGGGCCCCCAAGGGACTCGGCGCACATCATAATCGATTAATTAGTTGTCAGAGCTATCGATGACATTTGCAGCGTTGCCACCCGACAACGATATTAAGTGCATTCGCGAGTCGCTGCTCATTTGCCATTTCCCCTTTTGCTTTTTACTTGTTCCTCTTTGCTTTCTGCTCTCTGCTTTTTGCTTTTGGTAGCTCTGATGATGCGAGTACTTTTTGTCATTATCTGTCCTAACGACAGGGTAAACCACTTTGCCTCACTGCAAAATGGCTTGCTGCCAGGGCGGGGTTGGGGTTGGGGTTGAGGTTATGGGTAAATGGTGATGGGGGGTGGGCGATGGGGAGTTTCTCTTACTTTTATGCAAATAATGGGGACAATGTGTCATTGCCGCCGCTGACAACTTTGATGAAGCGCCGCGACTGACAGAACCGATGCGGATGATTCTCTAGGTTTGCGTGTGGGTGATGGATCCGGCCCGGCCAGGCCAAGCTCAGAGGCGGCTCCCTGACATAAAATGTGTAAAATATTGGCTGTCTGCCGAAAAGCGAGTGGATGGAGTTCAACGAAACCTGGGAATTCAATTTATATGCAAATGCTATGCAGGCGACAAGACAAATATCAAATGGTAGACCGCAACCCCAGCACCGCCTGGGCACCGCCCACAGTGCTCTACACACATCTAAGTATTTTCATAAAATTTATTAAAAAAATATAGAAAATGTATGTAATTATGCAACATGTGAGACTATATACAGTTCCGTCTCCCTCTCTCTTTCTGTCTCTATGTAAAGTAACGTATGCCCTCTTCGTCGTCGTCGCGCACGTCGTACGCTGTGGGCACATAGCCGTAGGACTTTACCTCCTCCTTACAGTTGCAGGGCTTTTTGGGCTTCTTAACCACCACCACCTCCTCCTCCGGCTCCTCCTCTTCGGCCTCCTCCTCCTCCTCCTCGGGATACTTCGCCTCGGGCTCGGGCCTATAGCTGGGCTTGGTCGTGTACTCGTAGTACTGATGGTCGCACTCTGTGGTGGGGCGCGGCAGCTTCTTGGGCTTCTTGTGGGCCTTCTTCTCGATCTTCTCCTCCAGTTTCTCGACGATCTTCTCCTTCTTGGCCAGCTCCTTCTCCTTGAGGGCCTCGAAGAGGTCCAGCTGCTTGAGTTTCTTATCCTCGAACCACTCCTTGATCTTCTCCCACTCGTCCGCCTTCTTCTCCTCCTTGGCGCCGAACAGATTGAGGAAATCGAGTTTTTTCAGCGCCTCCTTTTGCTGCTTATCATCCAGCTTCTCGCTCAGCTCCTCCAGCTTGGGCAGCTTCAAGAGCCAGGCGTGCGACAGCTGCAGAGCTGCTGAAACGGAAGAGATCCACTGAAACACCCAGTGAGAAGCGCCTGAATTATCTACCTACCCATGCCAGCGATCAAGAGCACCGCCAGGTGTTGCCTCAGTGTGTTGGCCATGTTGTTGCTTGGATCAAATTGCTAGCGCTTACTCGACAGCCAGCTGCTTTTAAGGCCAGCCCCAAACACGAGCAACTGCAGCAAAGCTGCGGCCAAGCACGTGCTGCACTGCCGCTGATAAGCACGTGTGCATTCATCTCGCTTAGGCGTCCAATCACTGCGCCATGCGGCACCGCACTCGGCTCGTTGATAGCTTAAGCTCAGCTGCTCACTCCTGCCACGCCTACTTGGCTGTCAGGTTTGATTAGAGTGCGGCATCAAAATGTATTTGCCTTGTATCTAGCAATAATTTTTGTGGCGAGCTAAAGTTTTAATGAAGCTGCAGGAAGGGAAGGGGAAGGGGAGAAGGTGAAGGGGAAGGTCTAGAGCTAGGGATAAACTTTAATTGAATGCGTTAGCTGACCTCGCCTAAAGCGAGGGGTGGGGGTTAACTGCAGCTCGCTAATTGACTTGGCTTGGCAGCGGCTAGGGGTGAAGGGTGACCGAGTCCGAGTCCGAGTCCGAGTGAGGGGCGGGGAGCTCAACTAGTGGGCGATGTGTTGATGTGTTAAAAGTGGAAGTTAAATTGTATTTGTTTAGTGCGCGCGCCGGGCAATTGGAGGCGTGGCAAACGTGCGCCGGCTGCTGCCCGACTGCAACTCCAACTTCAAGCAAATAGATGTGAACGTGTGTGTGTGTGTGTGTGTGTGTGTGTGCTGGTCGGCATATAGTGCATATATACATATGCATGCACACATGTTTGTTGTTGGCTTGTTTAGCATGGCTATTTGTGCTGAGCAAACAATTTGCTAAATTAATTGCACACCAAATGCTCTCTCTGTGTGTATGTGTGTGTGTGTGTGTGTATACAAGATCTTGCTATTTCTGTCTAAATATAACACTGCATATTGAATGTGCATGGCAAATACTGCGAATTGAGCATTTTTTGATAGAACCATGAACTCTTTCCGAGCCATCAAAAGCAAAAGAGTTTTTGGCAAACATATATATATTTATGTATACACATTTTTGTAGATTCTTTATATATGTATGTATGTATATACCCATATATGTATGTATATACCCCTATATGTATTGAAGCCATTCAGCAAATAATAGTTATACGAATGTATTCAATAAATAAAGCTCAAAATCGTTTTCTTCAATTTATGCTTGAAGCACATTGAAAGCAGAGATATTGAAAGCTCAATTGAAATGAGTTTAAGATGCATCAGAGGGTGTAGTAAGCTATATATATATATAGTTTATATTCTCGATACAGAGTTAAAACTCTACAACATGTTCAATATAGCCGTAAATCTTTTAGCAAATAATAGGTATACAAATCTATTCAATAAATACTCAATTCAAGAACTCAAAATCTTTTTCTTCAATTTATGCTTGAAGCACATTGAAAGCAATTGAAATGAGCTGCATCTTAAAGGTTGAGGGCGTAGTCAACTACATACATATATGGTATATATTCTCGATACATACTTAACACTCTACAATATGTTCCATATATCCGTAAATCTATCCATCTGCCTGTTTGTCCATCAGCAGTTAATAGTAGTACGAATCTATTCAATAACTTTTCTTCAATTTATGCTTGAAGCGCATTGAAAGTAAAGAGATTGACAGTTTAACTGAGATGAGTTTAAGATGCGTAAGAGGGTGTAGTAAGCTATATATATAGTATATATTCTCAATACATAGTTAACACTCTACAACATGTTCAATATAGCCGTAAGTCTGCCTGTTCGTCAATTCATCTGACTCTATGTCCGTCCGCCCATTTATCTATCCGTCTGACTATCTATAGTCTGATCATCTGCTCGTGCGTCTGTCCCATCCTTACGTCTAATCTGGTAGGCAGATAACGTTATACTTCCAGTAAACATAGTTCAAGCAACTCTATACTAGCTGCATACAGCGTATCTAGCAGTCGTCTACGCCCCGTAGCTGTTCGCAGCTTGTCAATGAGCTGTTTTGGCTTTTTTGCTGTGCGGCATTTTAGCAATTTTCGCTGATTATACGAAAGAATTTACACAGCCAAACATGAGATAGGTGTATATATATATATATATGTATATCATGTACATAAGTCGTTCAATATGAGGCTTTATTATATCATAAATTTCAAGTCTAGCTTAGTGATTCATAAATCGATTCGGGTTCAGCTCAATGCATTCATTGATCGATGCGCTGGTTCTCGATGTTGCCCAGGCGCAGCGGCAACTCTGGCAGGGGCTCCACCAAGATGGGATCTTCAGCAGCGTTGCCATCATCATCATCATCATCATTGTTGTTGTTGTTGTCATCACCATCGTCGGCTGCAGTCGTTGTTGCTGGCGTTGTTGTCGATGTTGTTGTTGTTGTTGTTGTTGTGCTGCGCCTGCGCAACTTGCGGCCTTTGCGTCCTGGCTTTCTGCCCACACGGCCCAGTCGCTGCTTCTTGAGCCTGCGCATCTGCCTGGCTATATCCAGGCTGGACAGCTGACCGTAAACCGTTGGATACGGTGCGATAGGGTAGGGCTCCAGGGTTGTTGCTGCTGTGACCTCGCCAACAGCTGCTGCTGTTGTTGTCGTTATCGTGGTTGTTGTAGGTGCAGCAGTTGTAGTTGTTGTTGTTGTTGTTGTTGTGGCATTGGCAGCAACTGTTGTTGGCGCTGTGCTAGATGTTGTCGTTGCTGGTGTTGTTGTTGTCTCAGCAGCAAGTGTTGTTGTTGACGATGTTGCTTCTGTTGTTGTCGATGTTGCTGTCGTGCTAGATGTTGTCGTTGCTGGTGTTGTTGTTGTCTCAGCAGCAAGTGTTGTTGTTGTTGTCGATGTTGTCGTTGTTGCCTCTGTTGTTGTCGTGCTTGAGCTATTTGTTGCTGGTGTTGTGGTTGTGTCAGCAGCAACTGTTGTTGTTGTCGTTGTTGCCTCTGTTGTTGTTGATGTTGCTGTTGCTGTCGTGCTTGAGCTATCTGTTGCTGGTGTTGTGCTAGATGTGGTTGCTTCTGTTGTTGTTGTTGTGTCAGCAGCAACTGTTGTTGTTGTCGATGTTGTCGTTGTTGCCTCTGTTGTTGAGGTGCCTGTTGCTGGTGTTGTGCTAGATGTTGCTGCTTCTGTTGTTGTTGTTGTCTCAGCAGCAGCTGTTGTTGTTGTGGAGGTTGCTTCTGTTGTTGTGCTGTCTGTTGCTGCTATAGTTGAGCTGCTTGCATCAGGTGTTGCTGTCGTGCTGCTTGTTGTAGTCGTATCAGTTGCTGTTGTTGTCGTGTCCGTTGCTGCTGTTGTTGAGCTTATTGCTGGTGTAGTTGTTGTTGTTGTTGTTGATGTTGCTACCTCAGTTGTAGTTGTTATTGCTGCTGCTGTTGTCGTTGTCGTCGTATCCGTCGCTGCTGTTGTGCTCTCCGCCGGCTCGTCGCCCGTCGCAGCTGCAATAATCTCACTTATATTGATTGTTATCGTTTCATTGAGCCGCGTCTCGTTCAGCGTCTGCAACGTGTTGTTCGAGCTGACAATTGTTGCCACGAACGTCGAGTTCTGTGCCGCACACAGCTGACAGCAGCTGCCTGAAAATGCAAATGCCAAATGCAAAAGAGTTTGTTAGTTTTTCCCTTTCCCTTTCTGTTTCCCTTCCCCTTGCTCGCTGGCAAATCAATTAGCAGCTCGGCTCGACTAGCTGCGGCCGCAGATGAAGCCACACACATCCGTATGGCGCACTAATTACCTAATATTGTTGTCACAACGAGCGCAATTAAATGCCGACGTGATATCACAATTGGCAGCAACATTGTGTAATTTAATGCTGGAGTTGCTCTTGCTCTTGCTGTTGCTGTTGGTGTTGGTGTTGCTGGTGCCGCTGGCATTCTATTGTCTGTTGTCGGTCCTTAATTAGCCTCGGAGAGCTTTGATGTTGTCGCTGTTGCTCTATAAATTTGGCTAATTGAACTGATTTGCCAAGTGCCCATCAGATGCATTTTTATATTGATGGCAACGCACACGTCGCACGGAAACGTGTGGCCGCTACGTGAGCTTCTTTATTTACTTATCATGTCTACCAGATAATAATCACACACACACACACACACTCATGCATCAGCAGCAGCAGCATCAGCAGCAACAATTGCTGTCGTCTTTTGCCGATGATTTCTTTGATTCCGGAAACAACACAACAGCAACCACGTGTTGAGCCAGCACCCAGAGCTGACCAGCGGAAGTCAAGCCGACCAATTGCATTCAATTTGCTTTCAGCTCTGCATCTGCTTCTTCTTCACCTTTGAGTACTCGCCCACAATCTAAAAAGTGAGCATATTAGATTGACTGCCAAGCAGCAAGACCTTTGTGAGCATGAAGATTGGGTCAAGTCAGAATAGAGATGTATATTCAATCATATAGATCCAAGAGTCTTATACATGAGTTAAGATCTCTCCTCTTCTACGCAACGAGAACTGAAGGCCATCCCGATGATTGGATTGCTCCTTGGAAGAAGTGTATTCCCTCGAAAGGGGTCTATTTTGAAGGGGATATAATAAATTTAGATGATTGATAAGTTCTTTGAGTTTTATTTCAAATTTCCGGGTTCTACTATGACAGAATTTATGTCCCATCACGATGTGTCATTGGCTAATATGCGAGCTTCTCTACAGCTAGATCTATGATACATTACCAATCTCTAGTATTGTAATTTGCCTATGGGCGAGTATGGCTCAGTCATTTGACCCGTTTCGTTTCTGTTCACTGGGTCAGTTGTGGGCCCAGCTGTTGGCCAACGGGCACGTAAACTTGGCCAACAGCTGGCAGCTGGCTGCAATCATTAGAAAATGGCACACACAGACGTTAGCTACAGCTCAGCTGCATCTGAACTGCATTACCATAATCTCTCTCTCTCTGATTCCTTTAATCGCAAGCGCAGCAAGTTTTCCGAGCTCTTTAGGTTTGTTCGCTTTCGAGTCGAGCGCGGATTGCGCTTCCCATGCATTACAATGATTTTTTGCCGACGCTTCTCGTATGATTGTTAAATAAACAAATATGTATGTGATAAGCCGCGCTGCAGTAGGCGACCCTCAAATACCCTGTTAAGTAGCATTCCATTGCAAGAGGATTAGTTTTCTGAGTGCTGAGAATAATTACAAAATGTTTTTTTAATTTTCTTTCTTCTCACTTTCTATATTAAAATTGTATCAAATTTCAACTAATATACTTTTAGAAAATTAAAAAAAAAAACAATAATTTTAATAAATAAAATAATATTAGCACTGAAGTAAACTAAGCTAATATTAATTTATTTATTAAAATTTTTTTTTAATATTTTATTTTATCATATTTAAGTATAGATAGACAGTCTCTAAATTAAATAGAGCTTAATAGTTAGTATATAACTAACTCAGTTTATTCAAACTGAAATCGTAAAGAACTTCCACTTAATAGCAAATACTTATAGTCAAACTACCTTCTCTTAGCAGCGCCGTTACAGGGCATTTAATGAATAGTCATGAATACAATTTACACGACATTTTTATTTCAGCTTGTTGACAGTTGAAATTTTAATTATTTGCAATAAACGTGACCGAAAGCCAAATGACAGCGCCATAAATATCCATGTAATTAAAAGTAAAAACTTAAATAAGTTACAGAGCCAGCATACGGCATACAGGGTGCTGCGACTGATGCAGAGTGCAGTCGACTGCATAATACTCGTGGAGGTGGAGCAGAGATTCTATTAGTGGTAGATATAGCTAGTCATTCAGTTGTAGAGGATTCGGATAGTTGGCAGCCCTGGTTCGCCTTAGAAAGAGATTCTTTTGTATGATATCCGACTGTTTCCCAAACCAAGTATCAAGAGAGAGAGTGATTCGAATATACTCTCTCTTCGCTGCATTCGAGAATGCTCTGTCCATGCTCTGCCCGGGCTCCATGTCTCGATAAACATACATGTGTCGGCACATCAGTGCATATCGAAAAAACACGAGTCAATCAGAGCTCGATTGCGATAGGCGTGGACAAGCGCCGATAGTCGAAGAGTCGTTCGAGCAGCTAATTGCGAGCTATCAGCACGCTTGAGTACGTGCCAAAAGTCGAGCTGAAGCAACGATCGGGGCATTTCCAAGCGTCTGGCTGTATTTTCAGTTTGGTATAAAAGACGTCGAGTGCGCGCACTGGAGCAAGCAGTAGAAACTTACAGCTGAAGCGCAAACATGTTCAACAAGACCTTTTTCGTTGCCCTCATTCTGTGCGGTAAGTGAACTGAACTGAACTGAAATGAAGTGAACTGAACTAGTTCGGCCTAATGAACGCATCCAATACGATATCCTTGCTTCAGCCTGCTACTTGAGCGCCACCTGGGCACGCCCGCAGCTGCCGCAGCTGCCCGTTCCTGGACTCGATGCTCTACCCATCGGCAATGTGGGCGGCGCCGTTGGCTCGGCACTCGGCGCAGCCACTGGAGGACTCGCAGCCGGCAGTCTGGTCCCGAAGCTAACGGGTCCTCTAGGCCAACCGAAGATTCTGTAAGCCCAATCAGCGCTATCAACGATTCCCCACATCAATGTCGACTGCAATGCCAAAACTAAGTCTGTTCCAATGTCAATAATAATTGTTTGCGTTCTTAACTATTAAATCAAAATTTGCATATCCTAATGAAAATTGTGTAATAGTTATTTCTGTATATCGTCGAACTTCTTTCCGATCCCTTTCTCTCTATTCTCATTCATTTTTCGTTTTCATTTAGACTTTCCATTTGTTATCCCCCAGCCTCTTTTCTTCTCTTTTCTCAATTTCCATCAAGATTTCCAATTTCTTCTCATCTCTTCTTTTCTCATCCCCCCTTGTCTACTCCCATCTATTCCCATTTCGTCTGCTCCCATCTCGTGTCTTTTCTTCCATTCCTTTCTCTGAAGAGAGTAACGCTAAATGAAAAAGGTTACTGGAACAATTGGAGCTGAGACATTACCTAAGGAGCTACCTAGGCATATTGAATATAGATAACTTTTATTAGATTTCTGTCTAAGAAATTGCGGAATTTCTAGAATAAACATGTATAGTTATGATCTTCCAAGTCTAGTTGAGGATTATGAAAGTTGAATATATAGAAGATGGATATAAAAGTTAAATATATTATATATTACGTCTATTGGGATATATATCTCGTTTGCTCTATGAAAGGAAAATGTCAGAATCTTTAACTCTTACGTTCTATAAACTTAAGGTCGCCCAGCTACTGCTGATGTTAGTTGAATAGCCACTGTGGGGACAGAAAGTATAAGAACTCTTCCCAGGACTCGTATTACAAGATCAAAAAACTCACTTTGGAGTGAACGTAGAGTACGAAATATAGACGAACAAAGAAATGGAAAAGTAATGGGAATTATATATGTAGACATTAGCTGACTTGCCTACCCCAACTTCCGTTTCAGCAAACAGAAACAAAGTGTGATTCAATTTGAAAACATTTTATCACTTTTCGATTTTAGTGTCTGACGTTTCATGGCATTCGAAGTGAGCTGAGCCTTAGCTGGCATTGTCGAGCACTGGACGAGTTAATCGCGCCTCTACGTGAGCTGCCCGAGTCCCAGTCAGCACGTAGCTAGCGAGCGTGCGGAACTATTTAGTGCTAGGCCCAATAGCCGAATGTTTTAGTTATGCTTCAACCCAACAAGAATGTTCAACAAATGCATGTACTTGCTGTTCGTGTGCAGCTGTAAGTGTTGGATAACGTCAATACATATGCAATATCTAATTGAGTGACTTTTCCTCCAGTGCTGACGGCCTGCAGCATGGCCCAGACCCTAGAGGACACATCTACACTAGCGCCAGCAGCGGGCGGAAACTCGACGCGTCGTGATCTGGTCAGAAACTTCATGAACAACGTCCAGAGGCTCATAGCCGATCTGATGAAGAGCTTGCAGCAGCTGACTGCAGCTCAGGATGGCCGCATCAGCATCAGCTAGACCCATACCCAAAGCCCTATCGAGTGTGTCTGCTGAGGAAATAATAAAACAGTATCAATTGAACTGAATTGCATTCATGTGGATGCAGCCACTTGAGATCGATTTTATTGCCAGTTCATTTGGGGCTTTGAGCATGCTACAGCTTGCACTCAGCGCTTTGATTGATGTTAGCGTGTCAAGGGTCAAAGGTCAAGACGTTTTGAAGCCCCAACAGTAACAAAGGACAAACCTTTCGCAGTCATTTATCAAATGACATTTGCCAACTGTGAGAGTCTCTACAAGTGGATACAACATGTTAACAGGCAGCATTGCGGGGGGGAGAGAAAGGGCCGGTGCTGAGAATAGGGGCTGCTAAGGTGTGGAAGGTCGGAGCGTTAAGCAAAATGAAAACGCCAAAAATTATACCTAAAGCAAACAGCAAGACGAAACGAACTGAGCAGAGCTAAGCGAGCTTTGAATACTCTGGAAATTACTAGATGCAAGACTTGAGTGACACAGAATAGCAGAGAAAATATATATAGAGGGTGATCAAGAAAAAACTGATAGCATATTCGATAATCGGAAATATTGATCGATATGGAAATAATTCAAAATATTTAGCAGTTCATCGAGTCTGTGGAAAAACCCTAAAACTGTTTCAGTTTCATTAATTGCTTTTTGATGAGCGAGCTCTATCATCTGGCTAGGCTAATGAAGCCATACTTTGGCAGAGCTTGAGGCCATCACGAAGCAGGACTCATTCATTGGTAACACTAATTCAAATAGATGTTTTCATTTTCATTCGACAAGATTATATTATAGACATTCCAGAATAAGTAAAGAGTAGAGAAATCCCTCACAGAAGTTAGGGTATAGAAATGTTCCCCGAAAATCTTAACGAAATTTCTCACGTTTGCCATAATTACGAGCAAAATACGTGACATGTGTTTTGACTATGAATTTAAGCAGCAGCAGCAGCAGCTTGTCGAGCCACCCCCTACGCCCTACCAACCCCTAGGCATAGCCCTACCACCATCCCCCTAACGCCTACTCTCCCTACATTCAGCCGTTGCCTGTGGGCCGTTCGTTACTTCCGACATTGGGAGGTCGGGAAGGGGTCAAGTATCGCTACGGTTGTAAATGGTAATACGTACTCGTATACATAACCAATAAAAATCTGTTTTGGCCAGGAAAAGGCGACAGCGAGCGGGCGGGGCTGGGCTGGGGCTTGTCGTAACAATTGTGCGAGTAATTCATAAAAATCTCTTGAGCAAATGTTAGCGACATGAATGATGCTCGGGCATTGGGGACGCTACGCAACCAGTTCCGGTTTCATGGGCTTTATAGCCTCACGCCCGCCACATTTCGGTTTCTTCATAATTTATAATGCCTTAAAGCCGAACCGCAAAAGCAGCTCCAGAAGCAGCAGATGAAGCAGTCGAACTCCCAGAGCGTTGCGTGATTGAATTGTTGCCTGATTGACAGTTGACAGTCGAAATTGATTTTGGTGGTGCGCTGCCAGGCAGCTTGATAATGATGACGGTGGTTGCTGTTGCCACAATGCAAAGGCTGTTCGGGCTGGGGCTGGGCTTATTAATCCCCCGAGTGCAGGCGTGCATAAGTATCGGGCAAATGGATTAGACAGTTTTATGTGAAAAGGGGAAAACAAAAGGATTTCAATGGAGCTCTTACCCAACTATTTAATTAAGCTTGATCTTTACCTAGCAACAGTAACAGCTAAGTCCCAACATATGGCGTACATCCCAACCCCATCGACTGCTCTTTCACTCTCTCTCTCTCTCTCTCTCCCTCTGTCTGCATTGATTGTCATATTTGTGTGACAGTTAATGAACGACTGTCGGCTCTTTGTAGTCGCTAATCAAAGGATAAAAACCGAACGTGAAATGTGCAACGCACAGCCAATGTCCGCTGAACAGCAGCAGCCGGACACACAGACGCGAATGGGAAGGACTGCAGTCATCTAATTGATAGATGATTCACATCATTTAAGCAGCTTTAATTGAATCATCAGCAACTGTTAGCTGCAGTGGAAGGCATGTCTATGACGTCTAGTTAGAGTGGATGACCGCGTAGCTACCCTATAGGGTGTTGTACTTATGACCATATCTGGAATTATCAATAATGGACAATCGTTAATCGATTATATGGATTATGTATCGATAATTGGGCAATCTAATCTAAACGATTCCAATTTAATATAATATATCTCTATCATCGTCTGCATATGTATAAGATTGTCTAACGTCTGATTGCTCAATGGTGATTGGGTCCCTCGTGAAGTACATTAACATGATATTTATCGATAAATGTATATCTGTTAATAGTAGTAGACTATGGAACTTCTTAGCAATATCCTTGCATATATTTAATATATTAAAAGTCAAGGCAATCTATCTATTCGCCTACTTAATAAGTCTACATGCAACCGTGTATAAATATATCAATATCTATCGATACATCACTACATATTTTATCAAGTATCGATATACATATAATCACAATATCAATGTCATTTTCAGCATTATCTCGAATATTTTCCATCAATAAGTCTTCATTCGCTTAAATTTGATGATAAACCTCCATTAGTGCTTACAAATTGTAAGCAACAGTTGAAAGAGAAACATTCATTTACCTGACTAGGGGCTATCCCTGCCAAGCGCTTCGACTTGTAATGCTATTACTCAGAGTTGATTGTGGCACATGAAAATATTGGAGCAGGGCACGCAGATCAATCAGACTGCCGAAATGAAAAGGAGAAAGGTTAACTTGCTTCAACAAATTTTTGCCAGGACAATGAGCGTAGAGTAAGGGCAGGAAGAGGAAGCTGGAGCAGGAAGCGCCAGGCGACATAAAGAGTTCGATATGAAAGTATTGATTTGCTTTGACAAATCTGAGGGACTTGTAATTTCATTACGAAAACCATAGCACAAGATAACCACAACAGAGAGTGAGAGTAAGAGAGAGAGAGAGGGGGAGAGAGAGAGAGAGTAAAACGAAAATGCTCAATTCCCCAATGTGAAAGTAATAGACCAACAACAGCAATCCGTAGCCCCCAAAAACAGGCAACTGAAGTAGCTGTCTGGCACTCGAGCGGGCGGCTTTTAAGATGCTTTGTGTGTGTGTGTGTGTGTGTGTGGGTGTGTCTGTGTGTGTATGGAAAATTAAATTCAATTGTGTGACAAGTTAATCCTATTTCTCATCTTCCAACTTTTATTTAAGCTTCATTCTTTATGCATTACATGCGATGGAGAGCATGGCACGAGACTCCTGACAAACTTCCAATCATGCAGTCAATCAATCAATCACTCAGTCAGACAGTCAGCCAGTCAGCCAGTCTGTCAGTTAGTCAGTCAGTCAGTTAGATGCTGTCAGAATTTTGTTTGATATGTTGCAAGCCAGCGCCAGCCTCTGGAAAAAGTGAAAGCGAACCGAGCCCAAACGAAGGGTTGCCCACACGCACACACACACACACACACACACAGACACGCACACAGACACAGAAAGCGAGTCGAGCTGTGTGCGCGTGGGGTTTCAGCTGGGGCAACACTTCATTAAACTCATAAAGCAATAAAATGTGCTCTTGATGAACAAAACAAAGACGCAGGAACAGGAGCAGGAGCAGGCAGCAGCAGGAGCGGGCAGGGGCACAGGCTCAGTGGAACACCTCCTTCATTCGCTAGCAACCACTTTACCCACTCAACCAGCGATGCGCCTTCGATTGTCTGACAGCTCGACATTGTCTGCTAATGGCAACTGCAGAGCTGTCGACTCGAGCTCACTCACTCTCGCACTCACTCACTCTCTCACTCTCGCTGTGCCTCTCAGTCAGTGTGCTCTGTCATCCATCACGCGTATTCGAGAGAAACCTTAAAGCTGCATTCCATATGGGCGCAATGCTACAGCTCTATCTATCGCGCTCTACCCATCCCCGCCCCCCCATCCTCTCGCTCTAGCCCAGGTTGCCTTTGTAGGTATTCGCGGCGTGGCAATCGATAATAATTACATTAGTTTTCTTTGTGTCGACACTTTTATTTCCATGCGTCAAGGAAGCCAACTTCTAGATTTCGTATGCTATAAAAGGCAATTCCTTTCTATTCCTCCTGTCTTAAGGCGAACTAATGGGTTCTTCGTCACGATCATTGAAAGACTTATGGCCATATATAAGCCCAGATATACATATAATATATATGTCATGCTGTTCTTTTCATCTTTGAAATCTGAAATCGCAATCCCGAACAGTATCTGCATGGAATAGAATCGATGGATTAGTTCGAATAGTCGAGTCTGGTTTTTTGTTCGCATTTTCGAACTTACTTCCCCTTTTTCCGACCGTTGCGCTCTTACAGAAGCTGATGGACTTCAGACACAAATCGTACAGTTTCCTTGAATGTTTTCGCTCCACTTTGAACACAGTTGAACCTTTTCAAGGATCTTCAAGCTGTGGGACTTGGTGCGAGTTGATTTAGTCTTGATAGCATAAAATCGGAAGACATTATTCCAAATAAAGCTGAGAGTACGACATGCAAAAAAGTAGGAAATATAAACGTTTCTATTTACAGTTTTATCTTCTGCCTAAGGGAGGGGAAAACGTGTTTAGATCATACAATTCCGAGCTTCAGCTGAGCTTACAAACCTTGACCAGGAAGCATGCTTGACCCTGAATGTGCATTCGATCTATGGAAGAATAGTGCTTGCTTGAATTTGCGGTGCTCAGCCTGCAGAGCAGCCTTGGCTAGACGATTATCGCAGAGACGGGCTCTGCACTTGCTGTAATCAGTTCAATATAGGGTAGATACATAGGGCGGAGGGACGGTGCTTACCTTCAGCTTTCATTTAGTTTGAGTTAATTTGAAAATCGTATTGTAGATACAAAGGGGAAAACCAAAGTTTTTTAATCGTGGTGCAACTGCTTAAGAAATCTATATATATATGTATAATTTGATGAATCTTAAAGTGCTCTTGGTCCGATTTGATGTTAGTGTAAGCAACATATCTATGCTTCGTGCTGTTTAAATGGATCCAAGTTGGACTAGATTCCATCTTGAGTTGAAATGTTTTGTTTTCAATTTTCCGTACTTCAATTTTCTCTTCTCATATATATATAGGGTTTAGTTCAGTTCGCCGTTGCTTGTTAAAGTCTAACCTCCCAGCACGTGAAGTGGATGTGAGTACCAGCCCGGGCCAAGCAATCGACCGACCATTGTAATCGTGGCCATCGCGGCAAGCTGCAATTGAATAGACCTTGAATCTGGTATTCGTCTGTCTTCCTTCTGGGCATACTCTTTGCGTGATGTCACTCCTCTTCCGTCTTCACTCCCATCTTCATCACCGCCATCATTGTCATGGATTTGACCGAGTGGAGTTGCGGGGGAGTTGCGTATAATGGAGTAGCCGAGATGTATCTTTATTACAGTAATTGCTCATTGAACAGGAAATTATTATATGCGTGCGTGTACCGTCTCCTCCTAGCCCGCCTCCTGCGATGCTCTCTGAACTCCCCGTTGGACCGGCTTTCGCTTTTAGCATTTGCTTCGGTGCGCCCAGTGCCCGAAATAGACAATAACGGAAAGAAGCAAAAGGGCAAGAAGCTGGAGGGCTGGGGAAATCTCTGTGGCGCTCTATTTCGACTGTAATAATAGAATGCGAGCTTTCGGCTGGGGTTAGTGTCACGGGTAACGAGTATATCGTCTGCCTATTCGAGCCACTACGGTTTGCTCCTTCTGTTGCAACATTTTTGGGTTTATGCCACTTACATCTGCGAAATGCGCGTCACACAAATCGCCGTCCCGAGCCGCTGCAGCCGCGGGGGGTAGCGAAAGACGAGGAAATGTGGCAATCGGCTTCGTGCCTGTCGAGCATCAGTCCGTCTCGTGCAACCTGTGGACGGCCGGCAGCATTTGCGTTTGCAAGCGTTGACGCAGACGTATATCATCGCCGCCGCCATCCTGATCAAGCGCCCGGGGCGGCAGGCGCCAGCTCCACACGTGGGCCCCGTCGCCCTCGCCCATGTCGAAGTGGATGCGCTGGCGCTGCAATATGATCCGCAGGTTCTGCACAAACCGTGCCACATCCATGGGATTCTCGTGCTGCAGACGCGCCGCCACCAACGGCGGTATGAAGCGATCGTACTCGTGCTGCTGCTCCTCGTTGGGGCCCCAATGCAGCGCCGGCTGGAGTCGCCGCTGGCGCAGGTTCAACAGTCTGGGCCGAGGTGGGTTCATTGCTTCTGCTTCTGCTCTTTGCCTGCCTTTCTGCTCTATGTGTGTGTATGTGTTTGTGCATGTATTTCTCTGTTCCTTTTTGTTTCCTTTGCTTGTTGGCTTGTATTCTGGTTCTCATTCGTTCCGATTAGGTCTGAGAGCTTTTATTTTGGTTATTGACTTGAGGCTCGATAATGGTTTTGCTTTGGCTTTTGTATCTATACCGGAATTTGGGATGGGGGAAAGACAAAAGTAAAAAGTTTAAAATAATCTGAAAGCCGGATTTATCAGTTCTATACCCTAAAAAGAATTTGGCCGAAATGCCAATCAGGGGCTCTGAGTGAAAGCTCAAACGTCTACTCGGTTCACACAAGACAGTTTCACAGTTTCGAATCTCTTGCCGTTTGTCAAATTCGAATGTGTTGAGTGAATCTTCCAGCAGCCCCTTGCTCAAGGAAGAGGTTTACCATTGGAAACTAACTGAAACAAGTAAGAAAGCTCTAGTCGAGACTGCTCGACTACGAGATCCCCTGAAC